GTTTCTTATGAAGAAGAGATAGATAGGCACGACGTTGAAACTTTGTCATACGACCAAGCCGGAATTGGGAGGCATAAACCAGTTCCAAAGCTCGTGCCCAATCGGAAGGAAAAAGCTAGTAATACTCAGCCGGTAAGCAATCAGGACCTGGGCTCTTCCCACGCGCTGTGTGCTTAATTGCGTAGTAGAAATCATTAGCCGTAAGCGGTGCATCCAATGCTGAAGCTTGTAAAGAGGACAGCTTCCGGTTGCTGTGCTTCAAAATGGACAGTAGTTTGTCCAAGTCAATATTCTTAGGAGTAACGTCGAGATCCCTTGAAGTAGACTGGAATAGTCTACCCCAGTACTCCCGATAAGTTGACATTATGACGTTTTGGTCCCTTGAAAGTCCTGTTGGTGTGTTGACCGAGGAAATAGAGTGCTTAAGCTCTGCCGAAGTTGGAGCCCGAAAAAAATCTTAGAAGAGCCTCGGCTGTATTAACATCCGAGTCAAATTTTGAGACACAATTGCGCTCTCGAAGTGCAGTATTAAAGTCGATAAAAGCTTGGCGAGCTTCTTGACAGTGCAATTTGTTAACGTTGTTGGGGTCGAGCGCTAGTTGTCGTTCTGCTTCTTGAAAAGTAAGCAGAAGTGGGCGAAGTTGAGCAGCCGTTGCGTGTTTCCTTTTCAAATAATCCTTGCTTGAGAAAATACGGCCACGGCGTTTCTGTTTATCGAGGAGGCATCCTAGATTGCGGTTTGGATCCATAGTGCGTAATAATCGTTTTAACTTGACCCCCATTCAATACTGAATATCCTCACACTGTAATAGCCAGGGTGGACACTTAAACGGTGCTTATACTTGGGGGGTCAAGTCCGAAGGAGCCGAAAAGTCAACAGGGACGTGATCATTGGAGCCGAGGCTTAAACCAAAACGTGACTTGTAAAGCGAATAAATCTATCACAGAAAAACTCACTGGCTAGGCAATAGTCAATCCTGTACTTGAGCTTCGAACCTGTAAATTCCATAGTAGTGGGGTTTTCGAGACGCCAAAAATCCAATAAACCCATACTAATCATCCAGTCGAAAAGTTCAGGTCTTCCATTGTCATGGTAATTAAGGCTCGGCTTGGCTTGGTCTAGTTCTGGGTCCATAGTAATGTTAAAGTCACCTAAGACCAAGTGACAAGCAGAGTCGTCAAAATCGCGTGGTAAAGCGTTTTAAAAACTTGGAGCGGTCGCTTGGTGAAACTGGACCATATACCACGTGAAAATAAATGTTCATTGCACCAATTTGACCCGTCACGATCAAGAACCTATTATTAAGGATGGGGTCGGTGGCGTGCCGGTGTGTGATGTCTTGAAGATTACGAAAAGGGTGTGCTCCGCTGAAAGCTAAGGCGACCCCATTGCGACTTTGATAATCATTTGTGTGCTGGTTAGATCAGTAAGCACAAGCGTTGGAGTCAGCCGGGCGGAGAAAGTAGTTATTACTTGATGATGAACCGCGGCTTGAAAGCTTGGTTTCTTGAAGTGCAATTACTTGATAGCGGGAGAAGATGTCTTGATATAAATTTAGGCTTGGACGATTGAGTCCGTTCACATTGAGTGAAACAGCCTTAAAACTCCAGCTTGTTTGATTAAAAGTGAAGTCTAGGAGTTATTTCTCCAGTAGGGGATGGCTTGAGATCTTGAACCTTTT